CCTACCATTGACTGCATGTTGTGTAATCTGCTCGTGTAGATGTTGCAGCTGCGTGCGTCAGTCGTCTGCCGTCGATGACAACTGCGTCGGCTGCAACATGGCCGCCATCCGCAAGCAGACGGGTCTACGGGACGAGCATATTATCCACGCAAGCTTTCATAACAGGGTGCGTGCAGGGTGCGAAATTAACGGGAGTCCGTAGTCAAATATACTCCCTGATTTACTGTCAGATTCCCTGATTTGACATATATACAGGAGTCCGTGTGACTCCCTGAAAATTCTGCTATACTAACTAGTTCGTTTCGGAGGACGGCCTCACGGAATTACCGTATTTTTCCAGCAAATATCCAAAGAAAATTTGGCAGACATGCATCGCATGAATCTTAAAAATAAGCACATGTTATTGTTAGTATCATTAGTTTTGAATTTCAGACTGCGGACTCACTCATTTTGCTGCGGACTCCGGGCAGGGTGTCCGTTAGACTCTCTTGTTCAAAAGTTAATTTCTTGCAATGTGATCGTGCGAATGCGCAACGATCGAGATTCAAACGTTACTACCGGATTATGGGCATGTTGTGGAATACGCCGAATGACAAATAGTAGCTTGATATTTTTTTCAGTGTTCACTCATGTACAAGGTCGGGTTCTGTGTCGCGGTGAATGTAGTGTTTCACAGGTATCGATTGTGAGAATTAGTAGCTTAATATTTCTCTATGTTTAATCATTGCAGACATACGAGGTGGCATTCTTTGTCGCAGTGGACGAAGAAACGGAGTCAATCATATTGTCTATCAGGGGAACACTATCATTGGGGGTAAGATCTTATCCTAATTCGATAGTGTGGCTTCTTGTTTCTGTTACACACTGCCTTTTAGTAGTAAAGAAATTAGCATAATTTAAGTACGCACATTCAACGAGAGGATATCGACGATTTGTCACATTTGGCAACCAGTGATAAATCGTCAGTATAGTTTGACAAGTCTTAACTTGTCTCATTTGCGGTAAACGTTTTAGCATCCTCAGAATTTAATTTCCTACTCAGCAGATTCACATCCTTGCTTATTACCTGTGAGTGGCCATCTATCTGGAGGTCAGTTGATGGTTGTTATATTACTAGATACCTGATGTTTACTAGGTTTTTTTATTTATTTAGTATATAATAATAATATAATATATAATAGTTATAGTAGTTATATATTATTTATTTACTTACTACCTTCTTGTGTTGTTATAAGGTGTTTTGCTTGCCCTACAGGATGCACTGACTGATCTGTCGGCCGAGTCGTGTAGCATGAGCATGGACGTTGATGGAGACCCGCAGACACCCGGCCGGGCTCACAAGGGCATCCTGAGGTCAGCGCAGTATGTCAAGGCCATGCTGGAACAGCAGCACCTGCTGGAAACGGCATTTCAAGGACGCGAGGTACCTAGCTCAGTGCTGACCTGATCTGACTTGTGTATTCGTGTGACCGCAGTACATTTATAGCCCAATCGTGAGGGCACCAGCCTAAGATTTCTTGTTTGCAGTGGGTTTATCTTTCAGGGGAATCGGTGAGGGGTATATGAAATAGTCACACTTCTCATTCACTGAGCATGTAGTGTAGTAGAAATAGTCAGTGATCGAGATTAAAAGCAGGACTTTTGACCGATTGCTCAAGTAATAGCACACAGTGGCTTCTATTGTGGGTAGACTGGTGTACAGCGATAGACACGAACGTGTGTTTAATCGGACATCGTTTTACCTTTGTGCGGTACTTTGTTGGTATAATTAACTCATCTATTCTAACAGTAATAACTATAGCAGATATTCACGATTTCTTCAGTGGATAGAAACAAAAATGCTACTGTTACACACGTTATCGTTCGATTTATTCGATTGGCCATGGTTCATCATTCCTAAGATTTACCTAATAATACCTTCTTCAGATTTATCGATCATAAATGGTGTTGAATTCTATTTCCGGGTATGCGCTCTAGCACTATACTCTCGTTGTGATGGGGCACAGCCTGGGCGGAGGTTGCGCATCGATTCTAGCCTGCCTGCTGCGACCTGCCCACCCAAGGCTACAGTGTTTCGCCTACTCGCCACCAGGTGGACTCCTCAAGTATGTGATTCAAAAATTAAGCCAGCATTGGCACAGTTTGACATGAAATATATGTAAACTACATATAGTGTAATATAGTATAGTATGGTATGGTATGGTATAGTATAGTGTAGTGTAGTGTTGCGTAGTGTAGTATAGTATAATATATAGTGCAGCCTATAACATAGTACACTATATATAGCATGCATAGCATAGAATGGCATGGAGTATGTAATTTGAATATTAAGGCAGCATTGGCAGAGTTTTACATTTAATATATATATAAATTACATAGTATATAATAAAGTATTATTTTTGTTTCATTGATGCCCTTGTGTTTCAGTATGGCCGCCACCATCGAGAGTCAGGAGTACGTGTGCTCGGTTGTGCTCGGCAAGGACCTGGTGCCGCGACTCAGCATCCACGCGATGGAAGACCTCAAGTTCAAGGTCCTTACTGCCGTACATGACTGCGACAGGCCAAAGGTTTGCATACGGCAGGAGCACTGCATTATTTTTCGTATTTTTGATCAAGCATCTAGTAACTTCATTTGAATTTTTTCAATCACTATCTGTGGAGTATATGTTCTGCCAAGCCAGCGCCGAGGTTATTTGTGCCTTTCTCAGACACACTTTGTGACATTAACAAACCATGCACCCACGATAAAAACTCCATGTTTGTATTCATGAGCAAAAATCTAAAGGTTGTAGGTCAAAGCACTTGGTTTGCATATGTTACCTTCCTAGAGTAATGGGTGGGAGCTGGGTATTAGGGTAAGGTAGAGCTGGTAGCAGGGGCGTGTACAGGATTTGTACCAGGGGGGGGGGGTCTAACCGTAACCCCAACTTGGGAGCACGCGAAGGGGGGTCTGAATTTTGAAATTTTGAAATTAGACCCCCTTAGATGCGTTTTCTGCGCGAGCAGGGGTGGTCCGGACCCCTTGGACCCCCCCCCCCTGTACACGTCCGTGCTATGTGCTGGATTACATCAAGGTAGACTAAGCATGACATCTCACGTGTAAAATAATGCATGCTATTGACGATTCCACGATGGGAGCATCAACTAACTCTGCCTTGCAGTATCGCATCCTGATGCGAGGTGTCTGGTACGCAATCTTTGGCATGCCCACATTGGACGTTGCTGTCATGGAGACGGATAGCGAGCCAACAAGTGGCGGCACGAGTCCAAGGCGCCCCCTGCTGGGAAGCAGAGAGGAGACAAGGTCTCGCAGCGGCTCGACCGTGGAGGTAGGCATGCAGGGATTGCTCGTAGAAGTATCGAGACATCAGCATAATATGTAAATATCTTCTGCACTTGCAAACATGTATGCACTTCTGAACATTTCAAATTACGAAAATCTGCATTTGTAAAACATCTGAACCTAGAAAAATGTGCACTTACGTACAATCAGTTTCTATTACTAACGCAAGGCTCGACACTAGCGGTGGCCCGGTGGCCCGGGGCCACCAAAACTTGATGTCGGGCCACCAAAATTTCCAAGAGTTAAAATTTGGTGGCCCGATTGGGCCACTAAAATTTCAAAGTGTCTATATGATAAAAATAATTGTTTCTTACGTGCTAATCTCATTCAAAAGAGAGCGAGCAATTCGCGGAGCGAGGGCACACGTACACACGTGCAGCATTCTACCGCGGGCACGTTTTATCGATCGTCTACTGCGGCTGCAACAAGCCACGTTATTGTGTTAGACTGGTATCCGGCCTCACCCCTAGGCCTCCACCTCGCATCAGAAAAATATGAGTCAGAAAAAATTATCTACGTTTGGCTTCGTATCGAAGCGGAAAAGAAGCGAAGATGTCACTGACGATGAGCCCCATGCCCATACAGTCGAAGAAGAGCCCCACGCTCAGTCTTCTTGCAGTTCTGCTGGACCTAGCCATGTCCGTGATCGTGCAGAATTCGGGCCACCAGATTTCATTTTCGGGCCACTGAAAAAAAAAGTTAGTGTCGAGCCTTGACTAACGGCAAGTAATATTATGGTAAAAACTTATTGTTTGTTTTTTACTGAAAAAATATAGTTGGGTTCACATAAGAAATATATGACCGGACGCGTAGCCTAGGAGCTGGGCGTCTGGTAACCGGACGCGTAGCCACGGCCTATTTAATATCGGCTACAAATTCAATAAACTGGAATCTCGAAAATTACTGCTTACTCAAACTTATACTACTTGTACGTTTCCGTTATTTTTCTCTCACCAGGAGGCGCTGCGGGATTCGTTCATGAAGATTAGTGAGGCGAGATTTTGTCAGGAGAAAATGCTTCTTCCGGGAAAAATTATGTATATCACCGAAGCCTCTCCTGGAGGGTGAGTACCTTGGGGCTCAACCACACCCTTATTAAAAGGCTCATCAAGAGCTATATACAGTTATACTTGTACGTAACGGTCAATCGAGGGAAATAAAAACAAGTGTCCTTCATATACACAGGTGTCCATTCTTGTGATTTCACTGTGCAACTGCCACCTGAGGGTAATACCGCAACGTGTTCTTTATAGACAGGTTTCCGTTCCATAGAGGTTTCTGCTAGTACATGCTTGACTGTAGTTAACTCCATCAAAGCTACTGCCCTTAAACCCGCCGCACATGCTATAGAACTAGCTGCACCAACTTCCACACGTGGAAAGTGGTGCAGCAAGTTCCACAACAATCAAGCAAACAATGTGAATTGAGTGTGGAAATTTACACAGCCACCCCGCACACGCTGTTCAAACTTCCACACGTGGAAGAAAATATCAAACGTACGTGTGATATTTTCCACATGACGCAGATCGAGGGATTTTGCATCTGCACACGCTGTCAAACTTGCTGCGCCACTTTCCACGTGTGGACGATGGCACAGCAAGCTCCACAGCGTGTGCGGCGGGCTTAAGCTGAACTGCTCTACAGTGTTACCCCCGGTTACACAACTATCATGTTATATATCGTTTCAAATTGCAGATACCTAATGCGCATAATACGTGCAGCAAACACTTTGTGCTCTAGCTCTCTCGCTCTACCTCTGTTTCAGGCGTTTCTTCGGCAGTCCTGTCTACCAAGTTACCTGGGCGGGCACGCAGACATTCCAAGAGGTCATCTTCAGTCCGAAAATGGTCACCGATCATCTACCGGACGTCGTTCTCAGGGCACTGAGTCAGCTCAACGAAGCTAACACGGAGCCGTTGCCGTCGGCAACCGCACCTGCCTACTAATCTGCACGTAGAACGGCTGTGGTCGTGACTCTAGCGGCAGATGTCTTAAAAGGCGAAGCTTGCCCGTCTTAAGATGGAAACCTCAAGGAGATGGCGCGCATACAGTGTTGTCACATGTTATTAGTCGATTTGTTGCACAGGAAGAGTTGACGCAGCTGCTTCGTTAGTGTCTGATTGGGATCGTCGTGATTTGTTGTATGAAAAAAATAGTCCGCTAGTCAAGGCTATATAATACTGCTAGTCAAAAGTCAGTATTTTTAGAGGTGACAGTTGTCACTATTAATTTCGCATTTAAACATGTATTGCAGTTATGTGAGAATTAAATGGTGTTGTAAACTGCGTTTTTATAAAACGTTAACAAACACTATTCTGCGTGTCTTCCACTGTGTGTCCAGCGTGTGACTGTGTGGCCAGATTACATATGCTAATTATGTATTCATGGTACATCGTTAATGAGAAATGTCGGAACATGAAGCTACTGTTATTGCTTCGCAGGTCGTGCAAATGCATAAAATCAATTTTCTGTCATCAGGTTATTTGTATGAACTGGCATCTCGCACTTAGCTATATGCATCGTGGGTCTGCTAATAATATAAGCCAGTGACACATGTAATGTTCTAACGTAGTCTAGCGGACATTAACTGTTTATTACATCCAAAGAGGTACTAGTCTACTAGAAGTAGAAGTACAAGTCTACCAAAGAAGACCTGTTGTTGACATTTGAATTCATGAACGTGTCTGTGTGCATTTCATGACAGCAAAGTGTATCGCAGCTTGTGCAGTGGATGTATGCCAACAGATTGGGAGCTGTACAGACCATAGGGCCGTTTTGCTGCATGGGTGTTGTGCAGGCGAATTTAGCTCTGTCGAATTCGAAAGCAAGCAGTCGTGTGAATGCTCCAGAACCATGTAGCTGCATGGCTCCCATGAGGCCACCATTTTTTATTTTGTTGGTTTACAGAATTTTTGTTGTTGTTGACTCGGTAGGGTAAAAAAAAAAACTCAACTTGTAATTATTTTTACTTTTATTATAAACTGTTTGTTTATGAAATGTTTTTCACATTTAAATTTTTGTTATTCATATTTCTTAGAGAAAAGGTCGGCGGGAATAAAAAAATACAGATTTTCAATTTTTATTTTTTTCCGTTTTTCTTGAAAATTCGGGTCGGCGGATCTGTAAACCAACAAAATAAAAAATTATCGCCTGAGTGTATCATGTGTGTGCTAGTCGTGTTCACTGCGATGCTCTACTCACTGTGTCTTGTTTACGTATTCATTATCAGAAACCTTCCACCCCGACGAACCTCGAATCCATTTAACTGGAATTCGAAAGAATAAATACCAGTACAGTACACAATCTATTATCCGAAATTCTGAAAACCGAAAAATGTTTTGTGGAGGTCGTCCGCACACCAAAGCTCGCGTTTAGCTGCACAAGGTTCACTGTAGAAATATGAATGTGTTTGGCATTACTCATACATATTGTACTGTACCGGTACAGCACTTGGCCTCTTGAAAACTTGGGTTTTAGTAATGGCTTGTTGCAGGATATACGGTATGTGTATCTATACTGGACTACGGTACCATTCCGAAATACGAAAAATTCCGAATTCCAAAACGTGTCTGGTCCCAAGGGTTTCTGATAATAGATGTACCGGGTACTGCAATGTGAACGTTTACTGATCTTCTTGACATCACGGGAATACAGGTAAAGTCAATGTATTTTTGTGGCAGTTGTACGTGGCCAACTTAATATGACGGACGATTATATATATTACATAAGCTATTCAGCTGTACGGCGTGACATTTAACATATCAGTTAACTCGTTAAAGAACTAGAACTTGCGTGTTTCATTCGTAAACCGAATTTCTGTGGAAGGGTTCTGGGGAAGTAGTTTTATTTGCAGTACTTTGGCACTGGTAAGCGACTTATGCCACCATGCAGCGCTGACGGTTACAGTCGACTTGGCTGTGAGTCAGCACACGGCTGTCAGCTACAATCTAGCAGATGCGTGCAGGTTTTCCTGTAAGTCGTTCAGTAATCAAAATGAAATATATTTTTCTCCTTTGTACAATATTTAATAGTGTGATTGGTGCTATCCTAGTTTCGCAAAATCAAATCAGTTATACGGCAAATGTGTAATTTTATAACTTATGCAAACGTACGTGTTCTTTCCTGAATAAATGAGCCTATCGGGGAAAAGATCTGTGCCGGACCATGAAGAGCTATTTTTCTTTTAATATTTTAATATGTTTAATTATTTAAAGTGTGTGAATAAATTCAATGCCTTGTGTATATCTGAACAGAGGTTATACTATCTTATCATTTCATCTACCAAGTGCTATAATCCTCAACCTAACAAAATAATATTTATAGAAATAGAAAACAACACCTGCAGTTCCAACAACAGAAGAAAATAATTATCCTACAATACATATTTAATAATGTCCTGGTTAGCGAAAAATATTATCACTATGTAGTTAACTAACATCCGTTTGCAACCTCTCCAGCTTCATGTACACCCATCCTTCAACTTTGCATGACCTTCACAGACAGCCATCTTCAACCTTGCATGACCTTCACAGACAGCCATCTTCAACCTTGCATGACCTTCACACACACCCAATCCTCAACGTTGCATGACCTTCACATACACCCATCCTTCAACCTTGCACGACCTTCACATACACCCATCCTCAACCTTGCATGACCTTCACACACACCCAATCCTCAACGTTGCATGACCTTCACATACACCCATACTCAACCTTGCACGACCTTCACAGACAGCAGATTCCCATCCTCAACCTTGTATGACCTTCACATACACCCATCCTCAACCTTGCACGACCTTCACAGACAGCCATCTTCAACCTTGCATGACCTTCACACACACCCATCCTCAACCTTGCACGACCTTCACAGACAGCAGATTCCCATCCTCAACCTTGATGATCTTCACATATATCCATCCTCTATCTTGCATGACCTTCACATACACCCATCTTCAAACTTGCACGACCTTCACAGATAGCCATCTTCAACCTTGCACGACCTTCACAGATAGCCATCTTCAAACTTGCACGACCTTCACAGATAGCCATCTTCAACCTTGCATGACCTTCACATATATCCATCCTCAACCTTGTATGACCTTCACATACACCCATCCTCAACCTTGCATGACCTTCACAGATAGCCATCCTCAACCTTGTATGACCTTCACATACAACCCATCCTCAACCTTGTATGACCTTCACATACACCCATCCTCAACCTTGCACGACCTTCACAGATAGCCATCTTCAACCTCGCAGGACCGCCACAGATTCCCATCCTCAACCTTGATGATCTTCACATATCCATCCTCAACCTTGTATGACCTTCACACACACCCATCTTCAACCTTGCACGACCTTCACAGATAGCCATCTTCAACCTTGCATGACCTTCACAGATATCCATCCTCAACCTTGTATGACCTTCACATACACCCATCTTCAACCTTGCATGACCTTCACAGACAGCCATCTTCAACCTCGCAGGACCGCCACAGATTCCCATCCTCAACCTTGATGATCTTCACATATATTCATCCTCAACCTTGTATGACCTTCACATACACCCATCTTCAACCTTGCATGACCTTCACAGACAGCCATCTTCAACCTCGCAGGACCGCCACAGATTCCCATCCTCAACCTTGATGATCTTCACATATATTCATCCTCAACCTTGTATGACCTTCACATACACCCATCTTCAACCTTGCATGACCTTCACAGACAGCCATCTTCAACCTCGCAGGACCGCCACAGATTCCCATCCTCAACCTTGATGACCTTCACATACACCCATCTTCAACCTTGTATGACCTTCACATACACCCATCTTCAACCTTGCATGACCTTCACAGA